CGTTCTCTACCGCCCCCTCCTCCGTGAACTATGCAAATTCTTCTCGGTTCGCTGGAACCAGCATTCCCAAGCAGTTTCGCGCGTTTCACCCGGGCGCGTGGATGGGGAACAAAAGCCGATCAAACACGCCGATAAAAACCGAACGACCGGTTACCGGAAACGTCGCACGGTGGTCTAGAGCGTATAATTGAAAGGAGAGACGTGCAACATTGAAAATTAACCCTCTGCGGACGAACATCGACGTTTCGACGAGATGAAATGTTCATGTTTGGAAGACCAAGTCGCAGACAAATGATTTAATTACTCGAACAGCAAGAGATCACGTAGGTTCCCTTTTTTTCTATCAATTAAGCAATTGATATACAATTTATCTATTTCTCTTGAAGGTTTTGTACATTTCGAAGAATCTTCGTGAGTTTACGTTTAATCACGGCTTCTCTAAATATACTCCGTTAGATTTTGAAGACTATTAATCCTTAATTAAATTATCGATCAGCCTGATTTCGTCTACATTCGATCCGAAGATATTTCTAGATTTTCGTGTTAAGAAATGATTAACCTCTTCAAGGATACTGACACATGTACAGTTGATTTTAGTCTGATATTAACGTCCATCAAACTGACACTATTTCTTAGTATATATTTCATAAATGCCGTCTGTGTATCGTTTAATTCGTATTAGTTTTAACACACTAAATTTCGCACGATTTCATAGAGCAAAGTGCACAAAGTGAAAACAATAGAACATTAAACCAATTGAATTACATTAGTATTAACATAGTTCATCTAGCTGTCACCGCGTTCGTTCGAATTATCGATAATATAGAAATGTTTTCGAATAATCATCGTTTAATCGAGTGAACTGTGGTAATTCGATTTGGTTCGGGCATTCAACGTGTGAACGAGATAAACCAATCGAAAACTAGAATCATCTGTGTTCGTTCTCAAAAAGAATTCAGTCTTGGAGAGGTTGAGAAGGGTAAATAAAGGATCAATTACACCTCGATCTAGACCACTGAGCTGGCTGTTGCATTACCTGCTGGTGCGAGACGCCAACGTCCCGTGTCATAACGCCGCACATCGTTCCCATGTCCCTGGTCGGCGTCGGGACCATGGCGTTCTTCAGATTTCGCTGGGACACCCGCTGTTCCGAGAACGACTGGCTGCGGTGCCTGTGCAACGCGGTGTCGTTCCGGGCGTTCGTCTTGCTCAGCTCGTCCACTTGTCGCAGGAGATTCCGTTTCTCCTCTTTCAGCACCGACACTTGCACCTGCGGCGACCGTGTGAAAGCAGAGAAAATGAAACGAGATGCGATAATTGGAGCGATCATTCCGCGCCGATTTAGATAAGTCCCGGCGTTCCGCGATCGAGCCGTTTTCTAAGGTGCTGAAGAGCAGTAGAATCCTGCCGTGGATTTCATAGGATTCCTTTTCAATCGATTCTCATTCGTTTTTCAACACCGTTACGTGTAGTCCTTTCTCGATTAGTGTTCTTGCTTCTTCGAGGATAGAAGGTTAAACGCCAGTAAAAAGCTAATGGATCATCATTGACGTTCATTGATTCATATTACACTTCATTGAACACGTCGGAGGATGTTTGAATTTACTTGTTAAGATGAAAAATGTATTGTTATGGAATAATAATTGATTAACATAATCGAAGGCGTATATTCGATGAAAAAGCGCGTGCATTGTTTGCGAAACGGACGGGCGTATATATATGCTTTAATGAAATTCTATTATTTGCGCGATCGGATTGCCCGGGGGAAATTTGAATTTTAATAAAGAGCCGCCGCACACGCGAGAACTTTTTCGCAAATTAACGATGAGGCGGGGAGCTATATTGAAAACAGGTTAAATTAAAGCGGAAGTTCAGTTCGCCCCTCTCGGATCGGGACACGGATAGAACTCACCAGCAGGTCTATCGTTATATAGGCAAGGTGGCACAATATCCAACAGCATATCGTGAAAGGACACACGGCACTGTTTTGTATTTCCTCCGGCATTCCATCCGAGTTAATTACGTGCGCGAGTCAAAGACTCTGTGAGAGAGACTGATAGAAACGCTTCGCGCTAACGATTTCCGAGCGATATTTCTGTCGCTCGACAATCGTGATCTTCTCTGTCCTACCAACGGTGTCTCTGTTCTGTTTACGATCGGGCGTTCTTCAAATGTTCTTCACGGGACCCAAGAATTGCTGGCGCGAACCGCCAAGTAGGAATTTCGAATTGAATTTAATCGGGATTAATCTTTTTAATTTCGATTCCTATACAGCTGTTATCATTGTCCGCGCTGTTTCCCTCTGACAAATCGCAAACCAGTTCTCCGTGTGCCTTTTACTCGTACGAGCTGAACGTTAGCTCCGCGACAACCGACATTCTTAATAAATTATTGTCCACGTTTCTGACAGTGTTCATTATGTCAATTCAATATTATCAAACATTATCGCTTATATCTTTCTCGTTAATACCCGGTAGATTCTGCGCGATTTGTGAGTAAGTATTATAGATTATCAATGATTATTTAATATCATTCTTAACATTCTGCGTGTTAATTCTAAGAATTATGTAATACATGTTTCCGGTATAACTACCTGTTTGAAGTCAGTCTTCAGTGTTTCATTTGTAACTCATCGAGTAGTCTCGAACTTATAAAAACGAAAACGTTAACGTAATCAGTGATTTGAAAGAGTAGTTTCTATACAGTTTAATAATATGCTTATATAAATTTCTAAAATTGCTACTGAATTCATATACTTTCAATCCTCGACTCTCGTTATCTCGATTTCATCTACAAGGATTTGCATAAGAATTCCGCCGGGCGCGATCATGAAGGAAAACGATCGTAGAATTAATTACACCGCGATCGTAATTACGCTTTCCTGTCGGAAGTATCGCAACGGAACGAATACGCGCGGATGACTCACGCGACGGATCCGCGCGGCAAGAAAACCGTCACCGGGGCCGGTTAGGACGCGCAAAATCGTCGGGTGCAACGGCGGTTTACCTGCAGCATGGGAATCGCCTTGACCTGTTCCTCCAGCTCCCTCATCCGTTCCAACGAGGCCGCCATTTGCTCCCTGATGTTCTGGAAAACACGCGTGCCATCGTCCTGCGTTTATTCTTCGCGTTCATGTTGCGCGGTTATCTTCCCATGCTCATGTTCCACAGGTAATTTGGCGTGTTAA